GAGAAGAAAGCCAAGGCGGCCAGCAAACCATCCACTCGCCCTATCCCACAGGGGTATGAGGGAGGTCCTGATTCTGCTATTCCCGTTGTGGCAGTCGAGACGACTGCTGCTAAAAAATCTAAAGTGGTGCTCCCTTCAGCCTCCAAGCCGAGTCAAGTGACAGGCTCTCACTCTCACAAGAGGCCCCGGAACCGAGAGGATACGACCTTGGGGTCCGACATCTCGAAGCGCTCGAAAGGGAAGGAGACGGTGGTCGAGAGAGACGCGGGACAGCCGTCCCCTGTTAGGGTGCAGCCTGTTACCCTTCAACAGCCTTCTCGACTTTACGACAACCCCGATTCCCTTCAAATTCTCAACTACCTCCACTCGACCATTCCTGAAGATGATCAGGTTCGAACCGACAGCGACCCCTGTCTTCGGGCCCGCTATGCCGCTCGGCTTATTCCTCGAGTAAGTTCAACTTCTCTTCTTTTCTCTCCCCTTTTTTCTATGTCGGCTTCTCATCATTTTATTCGTTCTTTTCAGCTTCTTGCTTGCATTCTTCCCACTATGATCGAGGAAGCGTCTTCCCCTGGGAACAACATCAAGGTCCTGGGGGAAAAATACGCGTCTAAGTGCCAGGAGCTCGAGGCAAAGGGGGAGGAGCTCGAGGCTGCGAACGCCATCATAGCCAAGCTCCGTTCTGAGAAGGAGGCGGCTGTCCGAAAGGCTGAGAGGCTGAGGGTCGAGTTGGTCAAAGCCAATGATGAGATCCTGATCGAGAAGGAAAATGGGATAGAGGAAGATCGGCGGACCTTCTTGAAGTCCGCTGCAGGGGCGGTTTTTCTTGATCACTACCGTAAGGCTGTGGTCGAGGGATTCTGCTCCTCAGAGGAGTTCCTTGACAAACTTGTTCCCTCGGCTGTCCAGTACTTCGACTATGCCTGCGACACGTGGGAGCAAGCTGTGACCAAGCCCGACTTCTCAGGAAAGATCGACCGTGACGCTGTGAAGCTAACTCTTCCTGACCCCAAGGGCTTCCTGGAAGAGGTTCTTCCCCCCGGCCATGCGTGGTGGAGCGGTCTTGCGGCCAAGGCCATCCATTCGGTTGGGCTATCTTCTCAGCTTGAAGTTCCTCCGCTCCCTTTGGTCGGCCCAGTTGAATTGGTCGAGCCGAGCAGTGCGGACTTCGAGGCAGAGCCGTTCGATGAGGAGATTGAAGTCGAGCGGCCAAGCACTGTGCCGATTGAGGAAGAGGGGGGCGCTCACACCGAGCTGATTGGCGATGAAGGCAGGAATGCCGTTGAGAAATCGACAGCCGACTCCCAGAAGATTTAGATTTCCCTCTGTTGTAGTTGGGCTATTTATGTTTGTTTTGTTTTGTTTGTTTTTTCTTTTCTTGTTTTACCATCTCATCCTATTTTCCAATTTGTAAAGGTTGAGATGGTGCCGGATGTAATGAATTTTCCATTAATTATAATGCTTATTGTGCTATTTTTATATCGTCGTCTTCTCATGGTTGCGGCTTTTTATTCCCATGTTTGCTTTTCTTTCTTTACCTTACTGTCCTCTCCCAACCCGTTTTGCGAGCTAGTCGAAGTCGAGCAACAGTTTCAACAGCATTATAGCTGTTGAACTTAAGTTTTTCGAGTCGTCCTCTCCCAACCCGTTTTGCGAGCTGGTCGAAGTCAAGCAACAGTTTTAACAGCATTATAGCTGTTGAACTTAAGTTTTTCGAGT